TTGCATTGTATTTCTGTGTTTTTTGGCATTTACCATCTGGGTAAGTTAGTAGTCTTTACCATCAGCAGGAGCAGAGAGTACCAGCTGAGTTTGATGGGCGGGTGGCTCGTTGAACTCCTGCAGGTCAGGTTCTTCCCACCTGTGCCGTCACTTCTGTCTGGCTTCCCTCCGCTTCTCTGGATGGAAAGCGGTTTCCAGGAACCTCATCCCAAAGTGCAGTGTCCACAGGAAAAGTGTCAGAGTGGTCTTTCTTGGAGTCCGAACATAAATCTGTCCTCTTCTCATTGACTGGAATTGCATCACATACCTTATGTTCTTTCTTTCTTAAGGCAGAGTTGGAGTCTTTTAAAAAGGTAGAGTGGGGGCTGAAGAGATGGCTCAGAGGTTAAGAGCACTGGCTGCTCTTCTAGAGGACCCAGGTTCAATTCCCAACAACCACATGGTGGCTCACAACTGTCTGTAAAAATATCTGGTCCCATTTTCTGGCCTGCAGGCAGAACACTGTATAATAATTAAATCTTTAAAAAAAAAAAAAAAAAAAAGACAGAACAGGCTTAGATTTAAGAATGCCAGGGATGGTGAACAGGTTAACAGCTCACCTTATAAAGACAGTTGCTGTGGGGCCTGGAGAACTTGATTGGGGTCTGTTTTCCCTTCTCCCCTTTACTTGAGTTCCAGGGATTAGACTCAGGTTGTCTGGTAGTTACAGCAAGTGTTGTTACCTGTTGAGCCGTCTTTGCTGGCCCAGGAGAGTCTTGATGGAGGGATTTGGGATAGCTCATTTTCTGAGCAAGCTTGTGGTGGGGAATGGATTTCCCTGGAACAGTGTTTAGTCTTCCTTTCTTTCCTTACCTGGGCTCTCCTGGATGTGTTTGTCAGGTTCTTGATCATACACACACCAGCCCTTGGGCCACTTTACCGAACTAATTGCTTCTCAGTAGTTAATGATGGTATTCCAAGGTTTACAGTTGGGGAGGTAGAGAATTGTGACCGTTGTTTCTGACAGTTGTGTGTCTGCCCCTTCCCTCCTTTTTTTGTTCATTGGTTACCAATACTAAATAATTGTTTTAGGAAAATCTTATATATAAGTTGGTACCAAGATGAACAGATAGATTTATTGCTATCTCTAGAGAAAACTAGACTTGCTTGAAAGTTAATTGTTCAGTATGTTGTTGCACAACATTGAATGCTAGTATTTTATGCTCAGCACTTGTTTATGTCTTTGGGATCATTGTTCCTTTGTTTTGTCATTGTGGAATTGTATTGATGTAGGCTGTGACACAGTTTCTGTGTTTTGTCCATTAGAATGATCAGGTTCTTGAATATTTAGCAACCTTTTTTCCTTTATTACTTACACATCTAGATGTCTTCCATTTTAACTTTGTGTGTTGGTGCATATGTGGAGTTCAGAGGGTATCTTGTAAGAGTTGACTTCTCCATTCTGTACGTCTCTGGTATCAAAGTCTGGTTTTCAGGCTTAGCGGCAAGTGTTTGAAACATTTCTTAAGTCTGGCTGGTTTTTAGTGAACTTTGTCCGAGTTTTAGTGTTTGACCTGCGGATCTGGAGACAGTTCTCCGCTTTTCTTCTGTTTCGCTGTGTTAAAGGAAAGCTCCAGAAGAGTGGAGTGGGACGTCTCTAACAACCCCACCTTATCAAACTTCAGTATCTTATCTGGTTGCTTTAGGGCCTTTTGTTTTGTTTTGTTGTTGTTAAGCCTGCCCAGGTATGATGACTGTCCTGATTTTACTCTTGTTTACCTATTTATTATGTATGTATAAATATGCAAGACGTAGAAGGACTAATATGTTTTTCAACTTTATATGAATGATATCACATTGTACAGTTACTTCCTGCTGTTTGCTTTTTCTGTGGAGCATTGTATTGTGGAGATTTTGTTCCATATAGTCCATTATGTGCCACGAGGAAGGAGAGACACAAGACTTACTGGTCCCAAAGATTTCATTAAATCACTAAGTAAGTAGGTCACTGATTGATCAGGGCTGTAGGACAAGGACCCAGGAGCCTTGTTTTTCCTGACAGCCCTGAGCAGAGGCAGAAGTGGAGCTTATGAGCATAAAACCACAAACATTTGTTGCCAAGTTACAGTTAGAATTTTCACCAGTCCGAAATCAAAGATTAGGAACTTTCCTTGTATGTTCCATCATTGTCCAACCCATCAGATTCATTTGTTCCTTCTGTTGTTAGGAATAGCCATATATATATATATATATATATATATATATATATATATATATATATATATATATATATTTTTTTTTTTTTTTTTTTTTTGAGACAGGGTTTCTCTGTGTAGCTTTGTGCCTTTCCTGGAACTCACTTGGTAGCCCAGGCTGGCCTTGAACTCACAGAGATCCTCCTGGCTCTGCCTCCTGAGTGCTGGGATTAAAGGCATGTGCCACTACCGCCCAGCAGCCATAATGTTTTTAGAGAACTAAAGATGCATAACAAGGATTTCTGTGCTTAGGGAGGAGGTTCATCAGCCATTGGGAAGTTCTCAGCTCCCCTAGGGCTTAGGAACCTGAACTTTATTTCACCCTACAGGTAAATGGAGTCTGAAGTCACAATGGCAGTACTCAGGCCAAGATGCTTTTGCCTGCTCCCTTCATTCCCCTCTTGTCTTGTGACTGATTAGATGACTCTTCATCTAGGGCCTTGAATAGGAGTTGTACTGTGCCCTTAGAATCACGCACATGACAGCACCTATGTGATCTTGAACAAAGTGTGTAATGGCATTGGAAATGCAGGGGGCAATCAGTAGAACAAGAAACAGGAGGGTTAGCGGACCTACTAGACATTGGCAATGGTTGTCAACCAGGGGAACCAGTTGAAAAGTGGTTTGTACCAGTTGGAGCTTTGTTTTCTTTCCTCCTCCTAGTGAGGAGATTTTTCTTTAACTTTTGTTAGGGTCTCTCTAATAACATCCGAATGGTTGGCATAGAAGCAGTGTTTCTCCCAGGGTCATGCATAAATCTCCCTCCCTAAAGAAAAATAGATCCACCCCACGGCAGTTTTGCAGGACCACTTCAGCCAGCATGTCAACTTGATTTTCTAGGAAAGAGATGGAAGAATGGAGGTGGTAAATGTCTCTGTTGGTTGGTTCACTTAAGACCTGCAAGTTACAGTCCCCAGTGATTAAGGCTACTGTGCAAAGGGCTGTTGACCCTGCAATCCTGATAGGAAGAGACAAGTATAGCAGGTGTCCTCCTAGTGTGTAGTAAGCCTGTAGTCCCCATATGCATTCTCCTTGCTTCCCCTTCATAGTATAGGGCTTGAGGCACAAAAGAACTAATACACAAAGCTCAGGTTTGTCTTCTTCAGTGGAATGTCCTAGGGAGAAGCAAGGTGTCATCCCCAAAGTACAAGCAAACCAAGTTGATGGGGGGGCCACCAAGAGGGTATTTTTGTTTAAGGCAGCCCATTTGGTGTTAGGGAGGACATAAGTGCAGGAGTTTGTACAAATCGAGGAGTAGGGTGATATTGCTAGAGGGTAGTTGAAAGTGCAAAAATAGGTTCCCTCTCCCTGGAGGTCCCCCAAAATTAGGTTGGGTGTCCATGGGTAGAGAGCTGTGGTGGATGCAAGGGGAACTAGTGGGGTTGATGGGTTACCTTCCTTGAGGGTGATCCCAGTGTAAAAGAGAGGTTTGGGGTCTAGCCAAAGCCAACAATCAGTTGTGAGATTAGGATGGGTGGAATTCAAATAAGCATATGTAGCATTGAGTATCCCAAGCAGGGGTGATTTCTCCAGCAGAGCAGTATCTAAAGGCAGAAGGGGGACATTGATCACGAGGGTTGGGGCTGGTTATGACTGGGACCACATAGATTTGATGATGACTGAGCTCCTTAGATCTGGTGATGACTGGACCCCATTGATTTGGTGATGACTGAGCTCCATAGGTCTGGTGAGTCTGGTAATAGTTGGGCCCCTTAGGTCTGGTGATGGCTGGACCCCCTAGGTCTGGTGATGACTGGGCCTCTTAGGTCTAGTGATGGCTGGGCCCCTTGGGTCTGGTGATGGCTGGGCCCCTTGGGTCTGGTGATAACTAGACCCCTTAGGTCTGGTGATGGCTGAGCCTCATAGATCTGGTGATGGCTGGGCCCCATAGGTCTGGTGACGGCTGAGCCCCATAGATCTAGTGATGACTAAATCCCTTAGGTCTGGTGATGGCTGGGGCCCCAAAGGTATGACCTCCTTTTTGAGGAGAAGAGGCTGATCTTTTATTTATTTATTTTATTTATAACCCAGAGGTTACATGGGTCTAGGAGGACTGGGCAAAGCTAGTTTCTGGATGGAATTCCATTCCTGGGTTTTTGCCTAGCTTGTCCTGATTCCCCAGGTTAGCCCTGTGTCCCATCTAAAAGGGAGAAACAAATCCCAATGTTTAATGGTAATTGTGGTGGGATTACATGTCCTAGGGACAACACAGGAAGTTTTCCTCCGTGTGACTATGTCTTTATCCCTGTTGATTCCCCACCCTGGGACCCACATCTCACATCCCCAGTGGTCACAATGAAATTGATATTCAGTGGTACGTGTGGACCCCTTTTCTGCAGACAAATAATTTTGTCTGCCTCAAAGTTTCTTTCTGCTACCACCCAATGGTCCAAGAATCATCAGAATATTTTCCCTTTTGGGGGGCATAGAGGGTAACCCCCTTTAGTGGGCCATAAGATAAAAAGGTCTAGTTTAAAATTGATGGCTGAGATATAAGTTTCCTGTCATATTTCAGAAATGTTCTGTCCTGTTTGGGTATTTGACAGCCTCCACAGATAGAGTTTGGGCTAGTAATGTCCTGGGGCAAACAACATTATCATTGAGAAGGTTGAGAAATAAGTCTTATCTTTAGAAAGTCCTTGGGGTCTTGGTGAATTCTCCATCATCAGGTTCTTGCTTCTTGGGTTTCTTAGATGGATGCAAGTTTAATCTGGAAGTGATAGATCCAGGGCTTGATGCTGTTGACCTTTATAACTGGTGGGTAGTTAAGATCACAGAATGAGGTTCCTTCCACCGAAGAGACAAGGTCTCAGCTTGATGGCATTCGATCCACATGAGGTTGCCAGGTCTGAACAGGTGGAGCTCTAATGGTTCAGGTTGAAAGGCATCTATCAGTTCGTTGATGGGAGGTGTGGAGAGCCTAGATAAGTTGAAGCAGGTGGTGGTTAGAACTTTCAGCTAGAGCCTCTTGGCTCAATATGGGATTTTGGGGGGCGGTCTCCCATAGAGGATTTCAAAGGGTGTTAGTCTGAAAAGGTGGGGAGTGTTATTGGCCCTAAGTAGGGCCATGGGAAGGAACATGATCCAGTCTGCACCAGTCTTCAGGGTCAGTTTGGTCAAGGTTTCTTGTAGGGTTCTATTCATCCTTTCTATCTGACCTGAGTTTTGGGGGTCTGTAAGCACAATGAAGTTTCCAGTCTCCAACATCTTAGCAATGCCCCGAGTAACCTGAGGAACAAAGGAAGGGCTGTTATTGGACCCCAGGGCTACAGGCACCCCAAATCAGGGGACAATCTCTTCTAATAGCTTTTTAGCCACTGTTAGGGCAGTTTCCTTTTTAGTAGGAAATGCTTCAATCCAGTCAGAGAATGTATCAACCATATCATTTAAAGCCGGACCTTCTGGGCCTTACCTTGGTGAAGCCGATTTCCCAAAACCTGCCAGGAGCTATACCCCTTTTCTCTTTTACCTTGTCCTGTTTCTTTGTGAGTTTTGGCATTGGTTTGTTGGCAAGACAGGCAGGTGGTAGTAATATCCTGTAAAAGACTATTAACTAAGGATAAAATAGGTGTGGCTAAGCAGCAGCTGTCCTTTGCTAGGTGTGTCCCTTGGTGGAGCTGTAGGACCAACCGTCTACCTATAGATCTTGGCAGTATCAAGTGGCATCACCTGTCTTTCTCCATTTTCCTTCTTGACACCCATTTTTGGTCTATCTCCAGGTCTCTTCGTCCTCAGGCCCATATTGTATGTCCTGGGGCAAAGTAGACATTAAGGACAGGACATTCCTGATCCCGATGAAGGTCTTTTCTGCTGCTGGTCAGGCAACCTCATGTGCTTTTCTGTTTCCCATCACCTCCTTTGTCTGTCCTTGATGACCTGGGCAATGTAATTGCCACTTTATGAGGGACCTGAAGGGCCTAGAGGAGGTCCAAAATTTCTTGTTTGTTTTTAGTAGTCTTTCCCTTGGTTGTCAGGAGTCCCCGTTCTGGGTAAGGGTATGTGGCAAAGGCATGCCTGCTATGGATGGAAATCTTGACAGCTTTACCCTTCCCCAGAAGCAGGGTTTTAGTGAGTGACGTCATCTCCGCCTTTCGTGCTGGCGTGCTGGGTAGAAGGGCACTCTGCCACAGGACTGTCCAGTGTGACAACTGCTGCTCCCATGTGGCATTTGCCTTGTGTCATGTGACTGCTTCCATCTGGGAACATCTCCAGATCAACCTCTGGCCATGGCTCATTCTCAGGTCCTGCCATACCTGCTAGGTTTGAGCCAAGATCTCCCAAAAAAATCATGTTGTGTCCTGGCAGGAGGATTTAAGGCAGGAAACTGTTGAAGACCCAAAGAGAGTCCAATAAGAGGGCTTGATAATGAGTCATTTGGGTGTTGGTCACCCGAGGGCCTGGAGGCCTGTAAGCACAGTCTCAATTGAATGGGGGGGGGGGGGTGATGGCTAGAGTTGAGCCATGGTAAGTCTGTCAGCATTCTTGACTAGTAGGACCGTAGCCATGATAATTTGTA